ATCTCCTGACCTCGTGATCCGCCCGTCTCGGCCTCCCAAAGTGCTGGGATTACAGGCTTGAGCCACCGCGCCCGGCCAGCCTACATGTCTTTAAAAACACATACCTACAGGCCGGGCGCGGTGGCTCAAGCCTGTAATCCCAGCACTTTGGGAGGCCGAGACGGGCGGATCACGAGGTCAGGAGATCGAGACCATCCTGGCTAACACGGCGAAACCCCGTCTCTACTAAAAAAATACAAAAAACTAGCCGGGCGAGGTGGTGGGCGCCTGTAGTCCCAGCTACTCGGGAGGCTGAGGCAGGAGAATGGTCTAAACCCGGGAGGCGGAGCTTGCAGTGAGCTGAGATCCGGCCACTGCACCCCAGCCTGGGCGACAGAGCAAGACTCTGTCTCAAAAAAAAAAAAATAATAATAAAAAATAAAAAATAAAAACACATACCTACAAACTTTTAAAATTACCACATATAATAGAGAAGAGGGCTTCCTCTGGTACAAATAAGAATATAAACAAGAAGATAAAGTGATTCTTCGCATGGTCATTCATAAAATAAATTATAATACAGACTTGTTGACCAATCACATCTAACAAAATCTATTTGAAGACTTAACCAATAACTTAATGGAAGCCTCTGAGCTTCATTAGAGTCTTAAGTATTAGGACATCACAGAGCCTAGAAAAATGATATACACACTCACATGCATATACACACAGACACAAGCACACTTCTGATGTCTCTACTGAGAAATCCATTAACTTGAAGAAGGCTTGAGAAAGGCATCTTAATAACCCATTTCAAATTTCCTTTTATTTATTTTAGAATAAGTTTCCATGAAAGTCTCAGGCTATGTATAACTAAGTTACTTCTAACTCAGAATGTATCTTGAGTTCTCTAGTAAAAAGTTACCCGATACAAAATTTAAATCCAGGAACTAACTAGTAAGATTTTTCTGGTAAATTCTAACTGCTGAAAGGCAGCGGAGGGAAAAAAAAATTGAATCATGTTTCCATATGAAAATAAAAAAGCCAAGTGTTGGAGAATCAGTTAATACAGGAATATAAAACTCACTGAGGAAAATAATGTAATGTACACAGGGTAACAATCTGAGCAAAGACAGGAAAAAGGCATTTCTCCAAAAAATAAAAGGTACTTTACCAGGGGACTATTATTCTAAATCAATGAAGTCCCACTGAAGGAGATTTGATTCTATTTTATAAACTCTCCACTATTACGTGACACTGCTAGTAACCAAACACACTCAATTCCAAAGACAACCTGTTCAAGTTTAGTTGGCATGACCTAGAAAAACTTCCATCTTCACAGAAAAGGTACTAGGAAACCAAGTAAAACCATCATGTGTTAAAACAAATATATGCAAAAGTACAGTAAATATAAAAATGCATGGAAATGTTTAGGAAAACAAAATGAGGTAGTTTTTAAATATAAACAGTAATATTTGGTATGAAAAATCCATTATTTACCCATTTTGACTACCATAGGACTACAATGCCACATTAAGTTATGGTCAAAAATTGACAAATCTAAAAACAATATTTAGGTCAACAGAGACAACTTCCTTCCAATTAAATAAGTTCAATCAGACCAACAAAAACACCCAAACTTTTTCTTTCCATAAAAATTCAACTTTGATATTAAGAACATTTTTCCACTGACCAATAGTCTAAATTATCTCTCCAATCTCAGCTTCTTTACTCCCTTAGTTCACCCTTAGCATGAGACTGGTCTTTCCAAAAACATATTTCAGAGTAACCTCCCTTGCTCAAAAAACCTCAGGGCTACCGCTGACACTCCTAATGCTCAAATTCCTTAGCCTGGCTTAGTCAACCAAGGCTATTCACAATATGGCTCCCATCTTTCTGGCTTCCTCTCAGTACTCTCCCAGAGGAACCTTATTCAGTCAATTTGACCCACTGACTTCAGGACATCTTGTGCTTTCATAATTAACAAAGTATTTTCTTCCTGTTAAGATTAACACACTGCAGAAAGCAAAGCAAAAGTTTCTAAACAAATTTAAAAGTTGGTAAGAATGAAATGTATGCAAATATTACTTTTTTGTTTTGTTTTTTGGATTTTTTTTTGAGGCGGAGTCTTGCTCTCACAAAGACTGGAGTGCAGTGGCACTATCTCAGATCACTGCCACCTCTGCCTCCTGGGTTCAAGCAATTCTCCTGCCTCAGCCTCCCAAGTAGCTGGGATTACAGGCACGCACCACCACACCTGGCTAATTTTTATATTTTTAGTGGAGACAGAGTTTCACTATGTTGGCCAGGCTGGTCTCGAACCCCTGACCTCAGGTGATCCACGCGCCTCAGCCTCTCCAAGTGCTGGGAGCCACCGCGCCTGGCCCTTACCTATAATTTTTGACAGAATAAGTCAATTCCTAGTGATTGCCTTATAAAAAAAACTGAGAACAAGAAACGGTTCGGTAAAGAAGCAAACCCACAGGCCTGGCATGGTGGCTCATGTCAGTAATCCCAGCACTTTGGGAGACCGAGGCGGGCCAACATGGTGAAACCCTGTCTCTACTAAAAATGCAAAACTTAGCCGGGCGTGGTAGCGCACGTCCATAATTCCAGCTACTCAGGGGGCTGAGGCAGGAGAATCACTTAAACCCGGGAGGCGGAGGTTGCAGTGAGCCGAGATCATGCCAATGCACTCCAGTCTGGGTGACAGAGCGAGACTCTGTCTCCAAAAAAATAAAAATGAAACAAACCTACATCTTCTCTCAAGCTTTTAATATAGTCATATAGCAATGCTTCCATTCAATTTTTGACTAAAAACTTTTGCAAAAGATGATAAGACAAAAGACTTAGAAACCCTGGACAGTGTCCAAATATTTAACTTACCTGATAACATTTTATGATTCACCATCAGGACCCAATCTATTGCTAAACTACATAAGCAGTTTAGGCTAATAAGTTGACACTTTTTCTAGGGAAAGTACATCCCTAATTCACTCCAGAAATTTTCAAAATCATTAAGTTGTTTTAAAGGAAAAATCACTATTTTCATAACCACAAACAATATATTAGCAAGTTTTGGCTGTTATCACATCTCTAAGCACTGAAGACATCCTCAACTTAAAATTTCAACTTCCCCCCAAAAACAAAGATAACTTAAACTAAACCACTGCATTATAATTAACTACAACACAATAAAGACAGCTCCTAAATCCTAAATCCTTTTGTTAAGACATTTACTTTTTGTGGGAACAATACCTGACATTTATGAAATTAAAAACAAACAAACAAACAAAAAACGCTTTCAGAAAAAAGCAAACAGCAACACCAAGACATGGTTTAAAATTTTCAAAGAAACGCTTATCAACTTGGAACCTATGGTAAATCAATTATTTACTGGAGACACAACCACACAAAAAAGGTGAGGCAGCATCTGAGATATCAGATCATCAATGCGTAATACTTAGAGCCCTTGAACTAAAAAGTCAGTCCACTCTTGAGCTACCACAGACATTAAAAGGGTTATCCCCAAGTATCTCATTAGCAGGTCTACAGCAAAAGTAGAAGAAATGTAAGAACCAAAAAGAACACAGAAGAAAAAAGCACAGGGTGAAGGGAAAGGTTGGAGGTAAGAACAGAAAGAAGAGAGATAAATGTGTAAGACTAGAAAGAGGAAGAAGAAAAATGAAAAATGAGAGAAGGTGTAAAGTAAAAAGGCAGCTACACTTGCCCGGGGGACATTAGCCCCAAAGGTAATATACTACTGAAACTAGAAACCTTCAAACAAGGAGTTGCCCAATAAATCATTTTAAGAAAGTTTTAGGAAAACCACTCTTCTTAGAAAACCCCTGACTTTTGAATGAACTAAAACCAGAATCTAATCTATCTTTTTTCTGAATGTTCTCAAACTGTATTCCTTTAGTACACTTTATTACAGTCCTATAAATTATAAATTTGATTTTTAAGTTTTAGCCAGACTTTGATAAGCTCCAAACCTAAGTAACACTTGACTGGTAATGCCCTCAAGTGAAGCATCAGTACTTCTGGTAATTCACAGTAACACCATAGGGGAGAAAACCCTTAAAAAAAAGAGGCTAAAACAAAAGATAAAACATCTTAAATGAAGTATGTCTTAATCTGGGTACCCATGAAAGTCACGCAAGACACAGCAGATGGGGTCTGAAACCACCATTTTGTTTTTAAAAGGTACAGGACTAAAAGAACCAGAGAGATGTGTGGGTCTGAAGCTATTCGAAATATAAAACTTATTTCAAGAGGAGGAACTTAGTAAAAATTCAAAGTCAAACAGAGTAAATAAAATGTCATTAAGGGCACGAGATACAAAAATTCATTAAAATACTGCTTTTGCTTGGGCTCTCCAAAACAGAAAGGCATGTATCGCTGACTGGTCCAGCCATCCTCAGAAAGCTAGTACTCAGCATTGAGGGTGTGTTAGTGAGAATTCTTTAGAGCTGTTTGAAGCTCTGAAACCAAAACTATAGACTCCCATAATCTTTCTAGATTTTTCTGGCCTAGAATATATTTTTATATTTGTTCACCAGGAAAAGGCACTTCCCAAAACCAATCCACACCATGAAAGTTTTATCATCAAGTATCTAACTACGTGGTAAACACATCATTTAGCTAGAACAATTTCTGAATCAGAGCTGTCATTGACGGGTCTGGTGCTTTGGATGTAGCTTTCTGTATGTCTTCTCTAATCATTTATTTTCTCCTATTTTCCAACCACCTTATATTGCCACTGTCCTTCCATTCCCACCCTTTACCTTCCTCCTGTATATGTACAGACACACAAAAAGAGTATCAGTACCACTACGTATGTATCTATGTGTATACATACACACATATACCTGTATATGTATACACACACACAAAGACACACATGGCAGGAGCCCCAATATCAGAGTTTATTGACATAAATAATATTGTAGAATAGAAATAAATCCATTAATTCTTATTTCTAAGATAAAACAGAACTGTCGTTGGACACTACAACTCACCCGATGGTTCTTCAGGCTCACTTTCATTTTCTTCCTCAGGTGGGGCTTGAGGGGGTGGTGGGGGAAGTTTCTTTTCCTTCTCTGCTTTGGCATTTCTCTCTTCTTCTGAATAATACTCATCTTCTGAGAGGTTGGCCAAGCTTTCATCCATCTCTCTGTACTCTACCTATATGGAGATCATACCAGGGAAAGCTAAATGCAGTGAACATTTAAAATCAGGGACTCTATTTGGAACCATCAATCAATGTGAATTGTTAACTTCACATTTTAAGGGAAGTAAGTGTACAACAAGGAACAAGCCAGCTTATAATAGGTAGTTATTAAAAACAAAACCTTCATGAAACAATCTTGTGTCAGTTCAGGTTCAAACTAATCTGCAACTTTTACATCATAGCACTGACATTCAAACCATTGACTCTAAGGCTCTCAACAACTTCTCAAAAAAAATTTTTAATTGTATGTATCATGCCCACATACTGGAATTTCCAACAAAATTTCCAAAAAATATCATGCTCACATACCGGAATTTCCAGACAAAAATATAGTTAACTAGAATATCAAGTCTGTCTAATGCCAAGCCTGTGCTTCTAACTACTATTCCAACGGAAAATAGCAAAACAATTCCAAAAACCAAATGGAGGGCATGGAGTAGAAAATAACAACAGTCAAACTGAAACTATGAAAAGGTGCATTTGCTTAAAAAATTCACTTAGGAGAGGCCAGGTGCAGTGGCTCACGCCTGTAATCCCAGCACTTTGGGGGGCTGCGGCAGGCAGATCACCTAAGGTCAGGAGTTCGAGACCAACCTAGCCAACATGGTGAAACCCTTCTCTACTAAAAATACAAAAATTAGCTGGGTGTGGTGGCAGGCACCTGTAATCCCAGCTACTTGGGAGGCTGAGGCAGGAGAATCGCTTGAACCCAGGAGGTGGAGGTTACAGTGAGCCGAGATCAAACCACTGCACTGCAGCCTGGGCGTGAGACTCTATCTCAAAAAATAAAATAAAATAAAATAAATTAAGGAGTAAGTGACGTGGAAATGGAGGATACAGGTCTTACTACTAATTCACACCGGCTATAAAGGAAAGGGAGGTATGTCATTAGCAAAAAGAGGAAGCAGTTTTAGTGAATGTGTCACTGAGGGTAACAGAGCGTAAGACAGGAAAGATTATTATGGATTGGTTAGCCAAAATGTGTAATATGGTATTACAAATAGTTTTCAACATTGGAACATTCTCAAATCATCATTGTGACTTCCTAATAAAAGAAACTACAGCTAATTATTATGGAATCAATTAAAAGATAATTATTATGGAATCAATTAAAAGATTCTAATTATTATTAATTCCATGAAAAGATAATTTATTAGACATGGAAAAAAAGCAAAGACAATGTGGTTTCCACACGTATCTAATGTTTTACATTTCCAAGATTAATAGTCCTGTGGATTACAGTGAATGTAATACATTTTAACTTGCTAAACATCTTTGATATAGCTTTGGATGGTCAGCTGTTTTTATACTATCTTTTTGCTCTTTTTTTTAAATGATAGGACCACAAGATTTGGGGGAGGGGGAATGGCTGCTGGAAGTACAAGAGTTTTACTGAAAATAGGGATTGGGTTAGAAAACGGAAACAAAAATTAAGAATAATGAACTGACTAGTTCTGACCCATGCTCTAAGAATCTTATTTAATATATGAATAATTGTATTCACCTACTCAAATACTGAACACTGAGCACATGGTACAATGGAGAAAACAATTATGACTGAGTGTGTCCCTGCCCCTAAAAAGCTGAAAATCTGGTTCCAAGTAAATGATCCTGATCAGATGACCATCTCATACAGGGTCTCTGCAATAAGACTCCAGAAATGTAGATGATATTATACTAAACTTTATCCTAACTGACTGAGATAAACTGTGGAAATAGGTCTCAGGACAATGGATGAAAAAGCAGCAAGGAGAAAAAAAAAGTTTCAAAGAGGGAGAGAAGTCAGAATAGGCCATAAACTTTTATAGTATGCAGTTTTCTTTTCCTTTTACCCCTCAATAGTGCTTGACTCTTCCCTTCCCCAAAGATTCAGTCCTTTGATCCTCTGCCCATCAATCTTATTTACTCAATAATGACTTAACAAGTACCTAATATGGAACTGGACAATGTGCAAATTTTGAGACAAAAACAAAGACTAATACAAAATCCTTTCTATTGTAGTTCAGTTTTTCCCAAAGGATGTTCCACTAGATACTATATCCTTTGAAGGAGTAAAGGATCCAATATCAAGTCTGGGAAACTGCAATCTTTACAGGTCCCCTCTAGGAGAGTCACAATTCACATTAAAGGAGAAGGCTGGGTGTGGTGGCTCACACCTGTAATCCCAGCACTTTGGGAGGCGGGGGCAGCAGATGCCAAGGCAGGAGGACTGCTTAAGCCCAGGAGGCCAAGGGGTGCAATCTGTGATCGCACCACTGTGCTCCAGCCTGAGTGACAGACACAGACCCTGTCTCAAAAAAATAAAAAATAAAGGTACTGCTAAGTTTTGCATCAAAAACAATCTTTTCAATATTGTTTAATCCAGTGTCTTGACAAAGAAATAATTAACAAGGAAAACACTTGGAAAAGACTGGTCTAGAAAGGGTTCTTAGTCTTCAGGAACAAAAGAGATTAGAAAAATACGTACAGGTAGAAGCAATAATATCCGATGGTATTATTAAAAACAAAACTGTTTCACAGAACCCTAGGATTCTTCAAGATTTAGAATTTTAATTTTTAAATGTATTAAATACACACTCATGTGTTAAAACAAATCTTAATCCTTTAGAGACCACCAACACATTAACTTGTGCTGCTCGGGTAACTTAACTTGGGGTAGACTTAAGAATGAAGTTTCTTCTGCCATCTCTGTTCAACTGAGAGCATCCTGAGATGACAAAGCAAGCTTAAAAAAAAAAAAAAAAAAAAAAGCTGGGAGCAGTGGCTCAAGCCTGTAACCCCAGTACTTTGGAAGGAAGGAGGAGGAGGATCATTTGAGCCCACTTCTACACCAGCCTAGACAACACAGGGAAACCCTGTGTTTATAAAAAACTAAAAAAACTTAGCCTGGTGTGGTGGCATGCACCTGCAGTTCCAGCTACTAAGGAGGCTGAGGTGGATCACTTGAACCCAGGGGGTCAAGGCTACAGTGAGCTATGATCTAAACACGGCACTCCAGTCTGTGTGACAGAGTCGAGACCCTGTCTCAAAAAACAAAACAAAAAAAAAAAAAAAAAAGAAAGCAAACAAAACCAACCTCCTCCCTTTTGCACAACTTGTCAAATCAGTACTAGACTGCCACAATACTTCATAAACAAAGCAAAATACAGAAACAAAATTGGATTCTTCCCTGGTTGTCTAGTTGCTGGGTGAAAAGAATGGATTCTGGCCGGGCGCGGTGGCTCAAGCCTGTAATCCCAGCACTTTGGGAGGCCAAGACGGGTGGATCACGAGGTCAGGAGATCGAGACCATCCTGGCTAACACGGTGAAACCCCGTCTCTACTAAAATACAAAAAAAATTAGCCGGGTGTGGTGGCGGGCGCCTGTAGTCCCAGCTACTTGGGAGGCTGAGGCAGGAGAATGGCGTGAACCCGGGAGGCGGAGCTTGCAATGAGCTAAGATCTGGCCACTGCACTCCAGCTGGGGTGACAGAGCGAGACTCTGTCTCAAAAAAAAAAAAAAAAAAAAAAAAAAGAAAAGAAAAGAAAAGAAAAGAATGGATTCTAAGGCTAAAACAAGACTATCATGCTTAATTTCCAATCTCAAATTTGGCTTCACCAGTAGCCTCATTTTCTCATAGACTGACAACTAAAATAAATGTTATAAATTTTAACTTCTCAATACTACTTAATAGTAGTGTGTGTTTTATTTTGGGATTTTTTGCTTAAAATTTTATTTTGTAAAAAAGGCTTTCCTCATTTAATAAAGCTTTTTTTTTTTTTAGATAATTTTTAAATTGCCCGGAGCCAAGAAGTGACCATTTAAGCAAAGTTTTAAAACCATCGGAAAGAATCATACAAACTTTAATAAAAACTATTCCCCTGAGAAAAGGAATGGGTACTTTGAACCTAAAGGATTAGGCATCTCTCATCCCTAAGTAAAAACCCCAAAGACTTCAGAGACTCTACAACTACTTACAACCACGGACATAAAGATGTCCCAACAGGGAGACTATGAGTGAGTAGGGTAATTATTCTTACTTTCACACTGATGACTCTCGAATTTAAATCTTTAGTCTCTTCCTTCTCCTCCCTACCCTTATTACAATGATTCATTCACTCCTCAATCTCCTTAAAGCATCAGTCTTTATAAAGAAATCTTTCTTGGGCTGGGCATGGTGGCTCACACCTGTAATCCTAGCACTTTGGGAGGTCGAGGTGAGCAGATCACTTGATCTCAGGAATTCGAGACGAGCCTGGGCAACATAGCGAGACTCTATCTCTACAAAAATTAGCTGTGGGTGGTGGTGCACATCTGTAGTTCCAGCCGCTTGTGGGGGCTGAGGCAGGAGGACCACTTGAACCTGGAAGGTCAAGGCTGCAGTGAGCCATGATTGGGCCACTGCACTCCAGCCTGGGTGACAAAGTGAGACACTGTCTTAAAAAAAAAAACAAACCCACAAAGACCACAAAATTTTCTCCTTTCACACTGCATTCCTATATCAAAACATCTCATGTATCCCATAAATATATATACCTACTACGTACCACAATAATTAAAAATTTTAAAAAAACCTTTCTCACTTTTATCTAGGGCACAACTGCCAGGTTAATTTTCCCATTATGTGATATTTTCTAATAGCTTAACAGATGAACATCAAAATTTTCAAACCAGCATATAAACTCTCTGGCCTTGACTATTCACACTGCCTTTTTTATTTTTATTTTTATAAGACAGGGTCTCACTGTCACCAAGGCTGGAAAGCAGTGGCATGATCTCAGCTCACTGCAACCTCTGCCTCCCAGGCTCAAGTGATTCTCCTGCCTCAGCCTCCTGAGTAGCTAGGAATACAGGCGCATGCCACCACACCTGGTTAATTTTTGTAATTTTGTATAAACAGAGTTTCGCCATGTTGCCAAGGCTGGTATCAAACTCTTGGGCTCAATCGATCTGCCCACCTTGCCCTCCTAAAGT